CTTTTTCTACCATTAAAAATAATGCCAGAAAACGATTATCACTTTAAAAATTAATTTGGATACCTTAAACTTTACACTATCGCAGAATTAAATATCTCAAATAAATTTTATTAACGATACTAAAAACATTAGCATAAAAAAAAATTGAATTTTCCGTATCTGGTAGCACATGTCACCAGAGCAGGCATCTGGCCCGAAGAACTCCTTGTACTTGACCTGGTTGGATGCGCACTGGAAGCAAACTATACCTTACCTACTGACAGTGCAGTTAACAAACGAAATAACGCAGAATTACTAGAAAGCGTTAATTCAAATAAAGTCAGTGAGCCGAGAAAATTTGCTAGCATATTTACGATTCACATTATTTACACTTACTTTAATTAATTCTTTACTTCTTAATCATAAAATATAGGAGATGAAATTCTTAGAAACTTGACAAAACTTTTAACGTATAGTTCACCAAATTGAATAAATAAAGTAATTCTAAATATTCTGTACATTAAGAGAAGAGGATACTTAAAAAAAATACAACTTTTACAATAAGACAACTTTATTTTCTATACATTTATTCGTATACATGTACATTAAGCTATAATTGAGCGTGAATTATTTACACTTTTTAATTAATGGATAACTTAAAAAAAAAGAACACACATATTATTTATCGAAAAATTGTTTTGTCCCAAGATTTATACTGATTGGATATGTTATTCCATGTATGGAAACAGGGGCTGTAAAGTCACTTTGATTGGTTTAGAAATACCCGCATTTGGATTCCGATTATGCATAGACTTCCATAGCTTATTCCATAACTGAAAATCCTATAAAGAAAGTTTTGTACATTTTTTGCTGAAAAAAACAATGATCAAAGCGCATGCAGTTGAAAACTTGAGTTACTCTTGCGAATAGTTTAACTAAACAAATAAGTAATTGTGGTGTCTTTCCCGAATGAAACATTTTATAGCCTTTGAAACCAGGCTTATTTTGTTTGAAATTCCATGCACTATGAGGAAAAAATCATAAACATAAGTTGAAACTGCGTGAAAGAAGAATGAAATCGCATGGTGTCTTTCATGTAAGTTTTATCATGCAAATAGTTAGGTAACAGAGCTTAATACCTGCAAAAGTTGCGGATCATCAATTTTAAAAGGACGTGCTTTTTGTACTTTTCGTACATTAGTTGTACGTACGGAATCTAAATTCTTTTTGCCATACGGAGGATGTACTGTCACTCTGATCGGCTTGGATAAACCCTCTCTAGAGTTTCGATTACCTTGCAGCCAAACGATTAATGGCTTGGTTTCATATTTGTTGTTTACGCTTGCAGTTGTGTAGTAAAGCCACCAAAACATGTAAGCTTTCGGACGCACTTCCACGAATCCTCAATCTTGCTCTCCGGGACCAAATCCACGTTTGCCTTTGATTAATATTTTATGAAGACAATCGGAAAATGTTACTCACTAGTTTTCCAGTAACAATCGCGTTATTCTATGACTGATAGGTAAATACAATTTTTTTAACAAGTTTAACAGTCTTTTGATCAATTAATACACGTACAACTGTCGAGGTACGTTCAAGTCAAATAAAATACCATACTAACTTTAGCACGTAAATTCTTCTTTATTTTTTTTTTACTTTCTATAATTGTACATGACGTCAAGACAGAATTGAAATGGAAAAAACCATTGAATTATTGATTTAATTGTTTTCTCTAGATCATTTTTCGAAGTTATTTGATTCAAATAAAAATAAAAATCATTGGTAACAAGTAATAAGTCTTTATTTAATGGGATGAGAAAAATTTTTCTACTGTACTTTATTATTATACACAATCAAAAGAGTCACCAAACATTTAGAACATTAATCCTAATGTATATAATTGCATATTTTTGACAAATTTGAAAAAAAGCATTTTTTTAGCGCACTAACGTAAGACTTACCAAAAACAGAAGCAAAAAGTAAAGAAAAAAACAAAATTTGGACATATTTTGAAAGAACCATTATTTTCAACGCCTCGATGTACTGAAATGTGAAAATTTAATATCTGCAACGCACGAAAGACTTTTGGTCAATACTTGAAAATGACGCTGTACTGCAGCTAATAATACTTTCTATTTATGATAGACATCCCCACCATCAAAGTCATTCAACAATAAAGAGTTGAACTTGTCGAATTGTTTTTGTGTCGAGATTTATGAAATACTTATGAAAATAATAGAGTATTAAATTTTGTTTAAATGTTAACACTATATCTTTTTTTATGAAAATTTTTAATTTGCATTATATTTAGAAGATTAATACGATTGAATGATAATTTTATACAACTGATACTTAATTATAACTTTAGTAAGCCCAAGCTATATCGCGTAATCGAATCAAATACCATAAATAAAAAAGCGATATTAGCTAATAAGATGAAAAAAAAAAATTAAAATATAAAAAAACATCGACGAATGTATTATTTTTTAAGAAATTTTAATTTAAAATTAACTAATTCAGGATTTTGTTTAAAAATTTCATTTTCTTAACGAATTCACATTTATTATTGATTCATTTGACACTTTCACAAACGTCTCGTACAAAACCACACGCTGTCATTTGCAAATGATATGCTACACACTCATTCGAAATTGTGAAAGTTATACTTGCACGAGTTGTGTGTACCAATTGACGTACACGTATATTAAATATTTTGTAATTCAATTAAATAATACATTCGAAGAAATATGAACGAAAAAATTTTTTTGTAGTTTTTATGAGGAAAATTTGTTAATTGCTTTTTGTCAGCATTCAAGTTTATGATTTATACATAAAAAAAAAAATGTATGAAAAACATGTAAAATGTTTTAACCATTTTTGACAGCTCATCCAAAAATAGGTGCTGTTAAAAAATACAACTATCGTAGTTGGCAAATCATGGATATGTGAGAAACCTCAGCAAATACGGCTTTTTCACAATGTACTTTATTAAAGTTATATAAAAATACACTCATTTCTCCGGTATGATGTTTGATTTAGTAGCTGAAAAATAATACATCTTATGAAGTTTGAAATATATCAACGAATGTTTTGCAATGCAAAATTGTAAATAAAATACCTACTCATTTTAGCTAAGAATTATAGTTTGGATTTCCTTATTTTCTACCATTAAAGTTAATTGTCTGATGGATGAAGTACTAAAATTACTTAAAATATTAAATCTTTTATGAGACGTTTTATTAGATGACGAATATTTCATAATAGGCGCACTTGCTCTATAGTTTTCCTGCGACTTTTACTTTTGTTACGATAGGTAAATCACTAAACTCTGGGTTATGAAAAACTAGAAAGTAACAATAATAAATAATAACACAATAAAATACACATTTTATATTGAATATTTAGTTACATCCTAATTCGTATCCACTGACGTACAGTTAAAAAAAAATAATAATACTAAAAAATTTGTATTCCTTGTCGTTTACCATCACTTGTAAATATTTATACGATACTTTTGTTGAATAATTGTACTGAATTTCACTAGAGCTTTCATGGATTAATTTGAATTTTGATACGTATTGTGGTAAATTAAAAAAACACTTTCATCCAATTAAAGCGTAGTTTCTCAAAAGATTAGAAAATATGTTTAAAAAAGTAGGGTATTCAAATAATTTTCTCTTTTTAGACACTCCTTCGTCAATAATACGGAAAAAAAGGATTTATCCGACGCAAGTTGACAATGGTACCTGAATCGGTCAGTGGCCTCTAGTCCACAATGAAAACACTTGCTCGCTCGTAATTACGTACATATATATGTACGTGCACGGGTACGGATGTTGTTCGCATGGTAGTACGAGAGTTGGAAAGTTAGTATATAGCCGTAACCTTAAACAAGTCTCATTTAGGTCAGACGGTCGCTGGTTGATATATTTTGTGGCAAACTGATAAGTAACCGCGACATGTGACTTTTTTTTTTTTTTTTTTGTCAATCGGTTCTTATGGTTTTGCAAAAAAACAAACCGAAACAAGCTTTTTCTTTCAGTACAAAGTTGCGTGTGATATTTAATAATACATAAATTGTATCTAGATGAGCTTGGCGAATTTAGTCGTGTATGTACTTTTTATGGCCAATTAAAAATTTCTAACTGAATCAAATGTAATATTAACGGCAAGGTTTTATTTTTTAACTGATCTCAAATAAAAAAGAAGTAAGCCGAGGGAAAAGTTTTAAATAGCAAAATAGTCATAAAAAAATAAGTAGTAATTTTTGTTAATCATCCGATAAACGTAATAATCTAATTAAAACTCAATAAAATTGTAGTGTACTGTATAAAATAAAAGTTAATTTTCAAATTGACATATTGTTTAGTTTAAAATTGAATTTGATTCCTAAAAGCAAGAAGTTTCGATCATTAGTTAAGACTATTTTTAACCAATAATTTAATTCTATTTTTGCTTGAAATAAGATTGAATGAAGGATTAAATTTTATGTTTGATAATCGAAATGGAACATCAAATGAATAATCATATAGTTTTTGATTGAAAACTAAATTTGAAAATTTATTTTTCATAACCCGGAACATGATTGAGAAGTATCGCAATTTCCTAAGCTGTACAACTTCCTTGAATAAAAGTAAAATCAAACGATCATAGCGCGGTCAAAAGTATAACACACTGGCAAAAGTTTTCACGATGGTAGCAGGTAAGTACATTATTTTTGCAAAAAAAAAAAAAAAAAAAAAAAAAAAGTGCAACAGCCACTCCCCCGAGATCCCACGCGACGATCCGGCCTCACCGCGGAGCTTTCTATCGAGGGTTTATGCATAATTGATGACATGTAGCTTGAGTACCGGTTCGCACTGTCTTGTCTACCCAATTTTACTCCGAGTCGGCGAGCGAGACGCGAAGGATCACGTCGGGTGGCTTGGGTTCTCTCTTCAGTCCGATTCGGTCGCTGCTTACACCCGCACGAGATGAGCTTCGAGGTTTTTATCTGTCTCCTCTGCTTCGCCTCGGCCGCGATGGCTCGGGGAACTTACTTCAACAGCACAGCGCACGGTATTTATTGACAAATTTTTTATTTTTTTTTTTTTATTTTGCGATTTTGCAAAAATACTTTTAACCGGTGTTTCGATTGAAAGATCTTTGGATTTTTGCAAAATAGTCATTTCATGCGTACAGTTTAAATATACTCTACATTTTTTTTTTTTTTTTTTTTTTTTTTGGCGATTTTAGTCCTTATGTATATTGATAAAAAATAAAATCTAAAAAAACGTAAATCTGATGTACTCCACAAGCACATAAGTAGTTCATGATTTATTTTAGCTTTGAAAGTCTACGGTCACAGCTATTACAACCCTATGACCGGGGAAGCCTTGGAAGGGCACATAGATGACGAGAGGTTGCCTTCGGGTACTCCAAAAATCGGTTTCAAGGGCCTGCCGTGTACTTGCGTCGATCAAAGTTGCGGTTGCTGTGCCGGACTGAACATAACGGCCATCGACTTTGACAGGCGCTACTGCGTCAATTTCACCCTCGATCCCATCCAATTCGAGATCGATATGCAAGTTCTGATGAACGAAAACGAAATTTATCAAACGTCTCTGTCAGGTAACCTTTTTAAATTATTTTTATTTAGTTTTTTTTTTTTTTTTTTTTTTTTCAACATTTATCTCGTTATCTCGCGCTCCAATGGTTACGAAAATCCCTATGTTCAATGGCACTTANTTTTTTTTTTTTTTTTTTTTTTACCAACTTATTTTCCTTTGCAAACGATCTCGATCATGATTTTATTACGATTTTGACGACACAACAGAAAAATACTTGTCTCAAAAGCACAATTTTTTAATAATTAATCAATGGATAAAGCGAATGGAATGAGTTTTAGCATGAAATTTCTATATACTATGGAATTTTGTCAAAAATTCCAAACTATTTATAAAAAATGCAAAAGAAGTGCTGAACAATGCGCGAATATTCTACTTTGGCATTATGTTTTTCGTTTGTAACATTTATTAAAAAAAAAAAATTGACTTAAAAAATGTTTCGTCCCGGTAAACAGCGCGCAATCCACCACCAGTATGCGTACCGCTGCCTTACGTGCCAGTACTGAACTTTTGCCTGAGGTTCTACGATCTGTCCTTGAACAACAGCAACCTGAACGCCTGTATGGATTTCGAGACGCGATTGGCCCAGTCGCCCCTCCTCGTCATGCACTTCAACTGCGTGCGGGTCGGTGGCAGCGGCATAGCTTGGGCCAAGCCGGGCGACTACCTGCTCAACAATAGCTCGACGCAACAGACCACGGATGGCTTCGATCATGTGGACTTTGACGCCGACGATGGGCCCACTGTGATTTCTTCCGATTTTACGACGTTGGCGCCCGAAGACGAGGACAAGATTGGCCAGCACCGTATACCTTGATCGGGTATCATTAATCCAAGCACGTTACATTGGTTCATTCGGAGGATTTTTTTTTTTTTTTTTTTTTTTTTCGTTCTTATGATGTGCGACAAATAATTTTTAAATGACGCACTACTCAAATGTTCCTAAAAATCTAACAGCAAGTTTTATACGTACTTGCTTCTTTTCCCCGAAATTGATGATTGTTACAAAACTCATCATCTTCATTTTTCGTTAAAAGACTTTTATGAATAAATCCTGAGAAAATGTCGATGTCGTATCGCCAAATTTAGACATTATTTCGCCAAATGAAAAGTAGTTATGGCAATTATGCTATTACTGTGTATTATTAATTTCTTACAGTATTTAATGTATTATTTTTGAGAGATATTTATATTTTTTTATGCTATCTTACGTTTGTGATTGGTTGGCTGAAATATCTTTGATAATTTATTTTTTTTATTTTAGAAATTATACATATCTAACTGAATCAAATGTAATATTAACGGCAAGGTTTTATTTTTTAACTGATCTCAAATAAAAAAGAAGTAAGCCGAGGGAAAAGTTTTAAATAGCAAAATAGTCATAAAAAAATAAGTAGTAATTTTTGTTAATCATCCGATAAACGTAATAATCTAATTAAAACTCAATAAAATTGTAGTGTACTGTATAAAATAAAAGTTAATTTTCAAATTGACATATTGTTTAGTTTAAAATTGAATTTGATTCCTAAAAGCAAGAAGTTTCGATCATTAGTTAAGACTATTTTTAACCAATAATTTAATTCTATTTTTGCTTGAAATAAGATTGAATGAAGGATTAAATTTTATGTTTGATAATCGAAATGGAACATCAAATGAATAATCATATAGTTTTTGATTGAAAACTAAATTTGAAAATTTATTTTTCATAACCCGGAACATGATTGAGAAGTATCGCAATTTCCTAAGCTGTACAACTTCCTTGAATAAAAGTAAAATCAAACGATCATAGCGCGGTCAAAAGTATAACACACTGGCAAAAGTTTTCACGATGGTAGCAGGTAAGTACATTATTTTTGCAAAAAAAAAAAAAAAAAAAAAAAAAAAGTGCAACAGCCACTCCCCCGAGATCCCACGCGACGATCCGGCCTCACCGCGGAGCTTTCTATCGAGGGTTTATGCATAATTGATGACATGTAGCTTGAGTACCGGTTCGCACTGTCTTGTCTACCCAATTTTACTCCGAGTCGGCGAGCGAGACGCGAAGGATCACGTCGGGTGGCTTGGGTTCTCTCTTCAGTCCGATTCGGTCGCTGCTTACACCCGCACGAGATGAGCTTCGAGGTTTTTATCTGTCTCCTCTGCTTCGCCTCGGCCGCGATGGCTCGGGGAACTTACTTCAACAGCACAGCGCACGGTATTTATTGACAAATTTTTTATTTTTTTTTTTTTATTTTGCGATTTTGCAAAAATACTTTTAACCGGTGTTTCGATTGAAAGATCTTTGGATTTTTGCAAAATAGTCATTTCATGCGTACAGTTTAAATATACTCTACATTTTTTTTTTTTTTTTTTTTTTTTTTTGGCGATTTTAGTCCTTATGTATATTGATAAAAAATAAAATCTAAAAAAACGTAAATCTGATGTACTCCACAAGCACATAAGTAGTTCATGATTTATTTTAGCTTTGAAAGTCTACGGTCACAGCTATTACAACCCTATGACCGGGGAAGCCTTGGAAGGGCACATAGATGACGAGAGGTTGCCTTCGGGTACTCCAAAAATCGGTTTCAAGGGCCTGCCGTGTACTTGCGTCGATCAAAGTTGCGGTTGCTGTGCCGGACTGAACATAACGGCCATCGACTTTGACAGGCGCTACTGCGTCAATTTCACCCTCGATCCCATCCAATTCGAGATCGATATGCAAGTTCTGATGAACGAAAACGAAATTTATCAAACGTCTCTGTCAGGTAACCTTTTTAAATTATTTTTATTTAGTTTTTTTTTTTTTTTTTTTTTTTTCAACATTTATCTCGTTATCTCGCGCTCCAATGGTTACGAAAATCCCTATGTTCAATGGCACTTATATTGCAGTTACGACGAACGTATACAGTGGAGACAGCTGGCAACCAAGTTATTGACACACCAACAAAAAGTGCCCACCATTACCTTTGCTTCCCGCTACTATTTTTCAAAAGTGCGTAGTAAAGGAGGCCCAAAATATTATTTACTATGGCTCCCCGGGCGCAAAATACATTATAACCTACACAATATTATTCGACAGAGAAAAAAACAAGAGATGCGCAACAATATCCACTCGTCGTCCAACTACCTGTTACCTAATAAACGAAGCTGCGGTCGGTTGACTCGGAACAGCAAGGAATAACCGTCACGTCAACGGCGATAACTGTCGTCCCCTGATTGCCAAAAGTGCCGCATACGTAACGCGCAACAGGATGGACAATTATTGGATTACATTGAAAAACAATTTCAAGTTCGGTTTCTCGGCAATGAGTCACATGTATACATATAGCTGTATAGTTCGTTCACACTTTTTGAAACTCTCGCATTTCATACATAATTACCAATAACTTGGCTCATCGCATTACCATTATCTATGGGTATACATACTATAATGTATATAGCTCAACCCTAAGTATATACGGCTATATTTAACATGACAATGTGCAGTGGTATAATATAAGGTATAGATATATAACCCGTGATGCCTGAACGAATGTGTTTTTGAAGAATTCAGTTCTTTTGGCCTAAAAACGGGGTCGACGCACGAGGACAAAAGGGTACATATTGTATACTATAGGGAATATTTTTAATTTCATCGCCACATGATATGCAAAGGTAAATACCCTCGAGACTACGTATCCTCGCTCAAGCCAAACGGTACATACGTATGAAAGTGTAAGACGCGACAATGAGAAAAGGCGCGCTTTAAAACGTACCTTGGGTAATTGTATTCTTATCGTTTAAAAAAATACCATAGTAACTATAACCGATACAGCATGGTTACATGCACATCGCTTGGTTATACTTTATCTGCACCACCTCCTCTCCTATTTACAAGCAAGTGTGCATGTATACACCTGCGATTGCGCTACGCGAAAGAGCAAGAGGATGAGTCGCGGCAGGAAAAAGCGCGCCACTAGTCGGCTGTCCGTATTTACATCGGTATAGAAATAATGTCCCGGTTGTTCGGTGCCGCCGAAAACTAAATCGTGCGATCGTGGGAGTGAAAATGGACTTCTCGGGGATTTTCGTCTTTGGTGTTTGCGGGTGCCACCGTCATCTGCACGAATTCTCGATCGCAATAAGTTGGTACAATCAAACAGGTGGCAGTTGAGTACAATTGGTTATACCTGCACGGTATACATGCTATATACGTGCCGTGGCGCTGATGTTGTATACCTGCCCGCCCGTGCGTGAGTGTGTAGGTATAGTGTCGTAAGTATAGTTACTCCTGATAAGAGAGGAAAAAAAAAGAAAAAAAAAAAAAAGAAAAATATGAGAGCGCGCCGGGCGTGACGTCACGTGTCGCGCAGGTATATGAGCCGACACCGAGGCCCCGTCCACGTCACTATGTACTCGCGCCTCCGCCGTTCCTCTCCCCCACCTGCCGCCTTCTCGTGGACTCTGCTCTCTATACCTATTGTACTCCTCCGTACTTACCTGCGACGACTCTCCTTTTCCGTTTTTTTCTTCCTCCTCTTTTTTTTTTTTTTTTTTTTTTTTTTTTTTTTTTTTTTTTTTTTTTTTTTTTTTTTTT